ATTTATGAGCTTTAGACGACTTGTGTAAGGGGGGAGATTGTAATCTGGATCCCAGTTAAAATTACGCAATGCAAAAAGCAAGAATTGTTTTTGAATTGATTCAATCCTTTCTGAATGAACTTGGTAGCGGGATACCAAACAATAGATCCGTATTCTAGTATAGGTCTAACTAAACTGGTAAAAAGAGCTTTTGTAACATAAGGATCTTTGAACTCTTTTGACCATCGCCTTACAAATGCAAAAACGCCTTTGGCTTTATTGACTGTGACATTAATATGATGGTTGAAATTGAGTTTGGAATCCATTGTGATACCAAGATCGACAAAATTGGACACCTGCTCCAGGTTATAATTTGATATTGAATAAACAGCTGGTTGAACAGCCCTCCGAGAGAAACACATAACTTTAAATTTTTGAAGGTTTAGGTCGGTGTTATGCAGACGGACTTTTGATTGGCAAACAATATGGCGGCTGCCTCTGTTTGGTGTGAGGTGGTTACGTCGAGTTTGCCACAGGGTTGCATTTTCTTAATAGCTTTGTTTTTATTGGCAACCTTCGGTAGTTTGCTGCAGGGTTGTTTATTAATAATGCTTTTGGTTTTACTGGCAACGTTCGATAGAAATTGTGTAGATATGCACGTAGGAAACATAAAAAAGCGTTAAAAATGGATAACGAAGTATATGGTATTATATGTATGTTAAAACAATATGCAAATAGTGTTATATTCTGGACAGAAAATCAAAGAAATGTTATAAGGTGTGGAATAAGACACATTGAATCTTTGTTGATGCTCGGAAATATTAGACGCACCAGATCTTGCCGCGCAGTTATATGGCGTCAAACTAGAGATTCTGAAGGATCGTATGCATTTCTTCATAGACATCTTAAAAATGAAGATTTGTGGTCATTTAAGAACTATGTCAGGATATCAGATGGACAATTCGACCAAATTTTAAATTTGATTAGGTGCGACATAGAAAAATGTGTAACAAATGCTAGAAACGCCATTTCGCCAGAGGAACAGTTAGCGGTTACGCTTCGGTATTTAGAAACCGGCGAAACTTATCGCAGTTTAGCATTTCAAACGAGACTGTCCCATTCATTCTTGGTTTATTGCATCCCAAAAGTTTGCAGAGCAATTTGGAAACGTTTAAGTCGCTTATATTTAAAGGTAATTAAAAAAAATTTAAGTGTTAAGTTTTCTTGAAGTCAAAGTTAAGGAGTGAGGTTAAGGAGTGAACACCAAATATAAAAACAAGTGACATAGACCTTTTAACCATCATATGTTTTAATGAAATAAAGTAAATTAAATATTAAAGTCAATTCAATAAATATTTATTAAAACGTAAAAATACAACAGGTACTGAAATTTAAAAAAACCAATTCAATATTAACTTAAATAAATTTTTTCGTTTTAAACACTAAATCACATTTTATATACATAAATATATCGTCACCTAAGTGGAAGATCGACCTATCTCGGCAGGCAATTCGAAAACGCCCTATCTCAGAAAACTTTTGAAGAACGCCCTACTTCAGAATTTGATTGAAGAACGCCTTATTTCAGAATTTTATTAAAAAAAAACACCCTATCTCAGCTGGCGATTCAAAAACACCCTATCTCAGTACATTTTCAATGTATTTCCAGCTGAGATAGGGCGTTTTTGAGCCGAATTCTGAGATAGGGTGTTTTTCAATATAATTCTGAAATAGGGCGTTCTTCAGTCAAATTCTGAAGTGGGGCGTTCTTGAATAATTTCTGAGATAGGCCGTTTTCGAATTGGCTGCCGACATAGGTCGCTCTTCCCGTCAGGTGACGATATTAAGTAAAAATAAAAAAATTCATTAAAACTTATCACCTACCACAACCGTAAAATTCATTAAAAACTTACATTAACTTAAAATCTATTCCAAATCGCTATCATCTAAAACACCATCTAAAGCTAAACTTAAAATATCCCGAGTTGTCGCGGAGTTTGTTACTTCCTTGTATTTTTTTCTGGCGGAAGATAGCAGGGAATGGATGGCATCAATGGTTTCCAGAGCAACGTCCTCACTTTTCATACCATCCAGTATGCTGACCACCTCCTCGCCAAACCACTCATATTTCCTTTTTGTGTTTGTCACCATTATATTTGTCAACTCTTTTAATCCCTGTTGTACCTTTTGTTGAAAATGAGCCTTATTTCGTTTTCTGCAAGATGATGAAACCTGAAAATAAAATAATTGTTATTATTTTTAGTTCCCGGAGTCTCCAAATGAATGGAAATCAATTGCGGATTAGTTTTAGCGGAAATGGCAGTTTCCTCTTTGTTTAGGAGCTTTAGATGGAAAGCATGTAAGCTTCTACGCTTCTCAATCAGATGGCTCTTACTATCACAATTACAAAGGAACTGATAGCATTGTACTGCTAGCACTGGTGGATGCAAATTGCAAATTTATTTATATAAACGTGGGCGCAAATGGTAGAACTCATGATGGAGCTATCCTAAGCCATTCGTCTTTACAGCGAGTGTTGAATAATGGGGATACATACTTTCCACCAGACAAAGTTATAGGGAACCAAAGATTATTGCCTTATGTCGTGGTTGCCGATAATGCTTTTGCACTACAAAGACACCTGATGAAACCTTACTCACACCTCACAAGTGTGCGTGAAAAAATTATTTTCAATAAAAGATTGTCCAGGGCACGTCAAACAAGTGAAAGAGCTTTCGGCATACTCTCTCAAAGATTCCTTATACTGAAGAAACCAATCAACTTACAAAACGTAAGAACTATTGAGACCATTATACAGGCGTGTTGTGTACTTCACAACTTTATTTTAAGTAATAGGATAAGTTCTTTGAGTGAACCATTTATGGATACAATGCATTCTAATGCAATATTATATGAAAGAAATCTCTCACCTGAAGCAATAAGAAATTCTTTTCTTGAATATTTTAATAATGAAGGAAAGTTGGAGTGGTTAGAACAACAATAAAAGTTATGCAAATTAAATATAATGCCTGAATTTTTAAATAAATATGGTTGAGCCTTTTTAATTTATTTTAATGAATTCAACGTTTTTCAGCATTTCGGCTACGAATCGTGAAAATATAACTTACCGACGGTTCGTCCCTCAACGAGGCGTTATCCGTGTTTATATTATTGTCCGTATCGTATCTCTCTTGGAAAAATTACAAATTACTCTTAGAAAACTTTATGTCACAAAATCTTACCGTTTGTGGCCTGTTTTCATCATTTAAACTATCCTGCGTCTCCCTTATTTCTACGTTTGGACGTAGAAACTGGAGCAGCTCGTAACACCACATTTTGGGTGTTTTCACATCTGCTGCGCCGCATCCACTCCGTTTACTGGCTTCAATTGCCCTCACTTCTCTCCGAAATTGTGAGCGCCGTCCTTGAATTTTTTCCCTAATGTTTTTTGGGGTCACAAGGGGATCTTTCGTCACCAAAACGTCGTGAATTCCATTTATTGCCGCATTTCGCTTATCCCTGCCACTATAATGACAATGCTTTGTGTTCCAAAGACACTCTCGGGCCTGGAGAAGATTTATTAATTCTTCCGTTAACGCTCGGCTCCAGGAGATAGACATTTCTATAATTATAAAAATTAATTGACCCACTTTAGATTTTCACAAATTTCTTAGTCATTTTCTAACGACACACAAATAAGTAATAATGTTTTTGTAATACAAATACTCACTTTAATAACTTTTATATTCGCGCGGATATTAAATATCTTTATATCGAAAATTTTGCGTTAGCAGTACATATACTCAGCGCGTTTTCTTCTGGAATAAACATGTTTTGTGTATAACTGCAACATCTACCATATCGGTATGGCAATACTGTATTTTCCAGCAAATTTTTGTGTATGGCAACACTTATTTTTCATCTGTTTGGCCCAGCAAATTTAGTTTGCTGTGAGAGTCACCAAACTCTCTCTCTCCGAGTTTGCTGCAACAACAATTTCACGCAGTTTGCCAAACAAAATTTCTGCATAACACCGACCTTAGTGGCATATAGTGTGTATTACACCAACTAACCACATTGTTCAGATCCGCTTGTAACAAAGACCTTTCTTCGATAGAGGACAATGTTTTAAAAAGTTTCACATCATCGGCATACATTAAAATTTTTGAATGTTTTATTATAGAAGAAATATCATTAATGAATATCAGGAACAGAATCGGACCAAGGTGGCTTCCCTGAGGAACCCCTGAATAAACTTTAATGATGTTGGAAGAACAATTGTTAACAATAACTCTTTGTGTTCTGTCAGAGAGGTAAGATCCATTGAAGAAGACTGGGCTGAAAGCCGATTAGGTCGAGTTTACGGATGAGTAACGAGTGACATACTTTGTCAAAAGCTTTACTGAAATCATATTACGTCGGTATGAGCATTTTCTCTAAAACCGTTTGAGACATGAGTTGTAAACTCCAATAAATTAGTCATAGTAGATTTTCCTTTAGAAAACCCGTGTTGAGATTGTGTAATTGAAGAAGATATAGAATATGTCAGCTGGTTAACAATAATTGCTTCGAATAATTTGGGGATAGCAGCAGTGGCGGATTTAAATATTTGCCGCCCCTAGGCAATTCATAACTTGCCGCCCTTTTTTCACGAAAAAAAAAAAATATATATATATCAAATATGATTGTTATTGTCAGTGCTTTATTACAATATAGTTCGTTAATAATGAAATACATAACGGAATTAACAAATTCGACATCAGCATGGATAAGGTATTCAACAAAAACCCTCTTTCAAACACTTCTTTTTCACAGTTCTTTACGTCTTGATTTTGCCACTGCCTAATTTGACATACGACGGAAGCTGACCTTCAGATTATTCACGTTATGATACACTTATGAAAAACTGGTGGGCTTGGAATCAAGAATTTTCTCGAAAATGCACGCTCGTTTTTCGGCAGTGTTGTCAAGTGTGGTAACCTTTTAGATGATTCTCGTTCTCGGGGCAGCGTGTCGGCTGTTTCTTTGCGTCACGCGCAGGCGCGCCGTCAGGTTTCTAAGCCGCGTGAATGAAAGTTAAATGGAAATTTCAACGACTGCTATACTAAGGAAAAATTCGCAGC